TAGATAACCTCCAAATCTTTTTGATACCTTATCACTAAAATGATTCCACTTACCAAAAAGGTCAGATTTCTAATAATCGCAAACATTCAAAGCAGCATTATGCATCCAGAAATGAATGAAAAACAGTACCTGTGAAACAAATAGCAGTCATACACTGTATTCCCTTTACCTCCCCATGGAGACTCTTAGACCGAACGCTGGCAACCCTGTGAATTAAGAACCGATCAAAAACGGATATCTGAAAATCAGGGAAGATCTAAATTATAAGAAGAGGATAACACTTCCCGTTAGTAACGGAAAATAAAGACCCATACTTTAAGAAAGAAACTAAAGGGCTAAGAGAAGTCATTTCGAGTAAACTGGAAGTCTCTTCCAGGGACAACTGGGAAATGTGTATCAAAGCCTTAGAATGTGCATAACCTTACATGCAGCCACTCCACTTATTTATACCAAAGAATAATGCCACAGTGAACAAAACAGTGAAGGGTTCCTGTCCACGGACAGCTAACAGACACCGAGTGTTTACAATATACCTGTCACTCTGAACACTTTAGATGTGCTAACCCCTTGAATCATCACACAAACATGATGAGTCAGAGACTTCTGACCTCCATTTCACAGATGAAGAGGCCGAAATACACACTGTAAGTAACTTCCCCAGTTGGCTTCTTTTGGATTTCTATTCTCTCCACTATTTCCTCACACATGAAATTGTATTCTACAGACACACCCTACCTTTATTCTTTGCCCCTCTTGACCATCTTAAAGCGCACACACGCACACACACAGCCATGGTTTACAAAAGACAGAAAGGCAAGATTAAAAGCATGAATGGACCTTATTCACTGGATATGTAACCTTTAGCAATTTACTGCATCTCAATAAACTTTAGCTCCTTCCTTTATAAAATAGATAAAATCAGAGCACTTATTCATATGCGCTATTGTGGGAATGAAGTGAGACAGTAAATGTAAAGTGCTTAGCGAAGTAACTGGTACGGAAAAAGTACTCAACAAATGTTAACTCTTGATATTGTTCTTTGTTGTTTATTTCTGAATGAAAGTAGAGATAGAAACATTTATCACATGCCTGCTAATAACTGCCAGATATTAAATGCATTGTATATCCTCATTATTGGGGGAAAAACAATAGGAAGTATAAGATAATGAGTAACAGGTACTATCTTTATAAAATATGGGCAGAATATTTTTTATGCCAAAGTCCTCTGCATTCACGTTGACCTGGACTTTCCAGCTAAAGCTAACTTGTCTAATCTAGGTGTTTTAATTTTTTTCTAGTAGACCGATACGCTATTATTTGGGAGATGAAAGCACAGGTAATGATAGTTCTGCACCTGCCATAGGAGCTTAGACGAAGGGTTTCACTGGACACATGGCCCCACTGGAACATCAAGTAACATGGAAAACTAAATAGGGAGCTAATGTGGATCTTAATCAAAGTTATTGAAAGCTTTGGAAGAAACAAGAAATAAGGAGGAGTAGAAGAACCAAATGGAAGATACAGAGAAAAAGATCCTAAATAACCATTCTTCCAAATAAAACACACACACACACACACAACTGTGCACAGGCACGCACACACACCCTTAAAAGTAATGAAAACAAGTTTCTGTTGCGAACTTCATCTCGACCAGGGCCCCATAATGGCTGCAATCATAACAGCCCCCAGACACTGCCTTGCTCTCTTCGTGCTAGGCACTGTGTTCTCTACACGCACTGTCCCATTCGGTCCTCCTACAAGCCTGAGAAATTGGCAGGACTATGCTTTTTTGAGAGAATTGAGGCTAAAAGCTAGCAGAGCTCAGAGACTAGATTTCTCTGAACTGAACTTTCTCCTGTAGGAACGCATCAGTCACATGCTCCTCCAGACTGGAGAGAAAGGGTAATCCTCTTCGCCCTTCACTCATGCTCACTGTTCTTCCTTCCATCCAGGGTTATACCTGAAACAAAGCTTCCCATGCTGGAAAAGACAGACAGTGACGGCTCCCACGGCTCCAAGTGATGGTGGCATGGGTTGGCCAAATGGTAATCCACCACCACGTCCCACACAGTCATCCTCTCCTTGACATAATCAAAGGACGTGTGCTCTCTAAACAGTCCACTTATCAGCACAGACTGCAAGTGAAACAAATACTGAATTCCTAAATACGTGGTCCCACTAAGCATAAATATACATATTTATAGACTGCAAAAAGTTGGGGTGCCTGGGTGGCTCAGTCATTAGGCGTCTGCCTTCAGCTCAGGTCATGATCCCAGGGTCCTGGGATCGAGTCCCACATCGGGCTCCCTGCTCGGCGGGAAGCCTGCTTCTCCCTCTCCCACTCCCCCTGCTTGTGTTCCCTCTCTCGCTGTGTCTCTCTCTGTCAAATAAATAAAATCTTTAAAAAAAAAAAAAATAGACTGCAAAAAGGTGAAAAGTAGCATTCCATAATATTAGCCTGTCACACGGAAACAAAATTTTTTATCTGTGAATCTGTCCACAATACAGCATAAACTATGACCTACGTCTTACACAGAGGCATAATGTATATTTTCTAGATGGAAGGAAAATCCCACTGTACATCTCAAAGGCTGTATGCTTACCATTTACCACGGGTGTCTAGATTTTCTTCTAGTGTCAGATTTTACCAGTTCAGGCTTTGCAGTCAAACACACCTACACTTGAATTCAGGCTCTGGGCCCTGCCACTTACTTGCTGTTGATCTGAGCAGAGTTACCTGTTGTAGTTGCTGTTTTTCAGTTATAAAATGGAAACGATGCCATCTATCATTTGACATATAACACCATATTTACAGTCCATTGTGAAAATTAAACAACATGATGTATTTAAAGAACTAAGCATGATACCTCATCCATAGTGAATGCTCACTGAAATGGTGGCTATTCATATTAAAATTAAGGTCGTTGATACTACAGGGCCTTTCTCCTCAAAGTACCCCAAAGCATATCACCAGCTCCGTGTGTGTGCGTCTGTGTGTCTGTCTGTGTCTGTGTGTCCGTGTAAAAAACACTATTATGGTCCAAATCATGTGTTCTTCTCTGCATGGAATACTAAACTACAATATCTATGATGAACCTGCAATGTCCATCACAATATGTCGATGCAAAATGTGCCCAAGTGTTTAGGTGTTGGTGATGTGCGTAAGTATTTTTATTAGAACTCGGAAAAGACAGCAGTTTGAAATAGGGATTTCTACATTTCCTTCTTGCTATTCACTGATGTCAGAACCATAGAGAGCTTGTATTTTTTCCCCAAAAATATGGCATTCTGAGGATCAGTCTCTTTCCAAATTACCCAAATCTACAGGGGAAGTCTTTATTTGTGAATTATGACAAGTACTAAGCCCTCTGAGATTGTGAATCAAGATAGCCAAGTAAAGGATTCTTTTACAGCCACTAGAAAAATCTCAAATCACATTGTATTTGTAGTTACAATGAATTCATAAATAATGGTAATCAAATTTAAAATGTACATCTTAATCTTGTACTAAATAATGGTACAGTATTCCAGCCTATAACTGAAAATAAAAATATTTTAGCCTATAACTGAAAATAAAAGTATTTTATGCTTAGTTTTAAATCACATATATATTTTAAATATATTGGTGGACAATCTAATGAGAGAAAATGAGTATTTTTCTTTGTAGAGCATTAATTTGGATACTAATAACAAATTAAATTAGGTTATGGAGCAAGTAGAAAAAATTAACATAGCCCCACTTGGACTGACATTAATTTTGTACAAAATTAAAATTTCACGGGGTCATAAACTAAAGAATGACAAAGTTTATTTTAAACCTCAAAATGTGAAACAGAAACTGAGTTTTAGGAGATACCTCTCTTTTATTTTTTATTTTTTATTTTTTTAAGATTTTATTTATTTATTTGCGAGAGTGAGAATGAGAGACAGAGTACATGAGAGGGGGGAGGGTCAGAAGGAGAAGCAGACTCTCCGCCGAGCAGGGAGCCCGATGCGGGACTCGATCCAGAGACTCCAGGATCATGACCTGAGCCGAAGGCAGTCGCCTAACCAACTGAGCCACCCAGGCGCCCCGATACCTCTCTTTTAGATACACTGACAAATCTGGATTACTACTGAACAAGAACAAGCTCTTTTGAAGTATCAGGCTTCCTACAGTTTACATAATATTGATAGGTTTCTCTAATAAAGGCATATTGGGCATTAAAAGGTGAATAAAGCACATATCGAATTTTGTTTTGTCCAATTAAAAAACTGTCCTAACCCTAAGAAAAAAAAATGCTCACAATAACCCAGTAGGAGCCTCGATTAGAAAGATATCTGCAGCATCTGAAAATGAGTATGTTTTTGAAAAGATTTTCTTTATTAAGTTTATTTTAAAGTTACTTGGGGGTTCACGATTTGGAGCTTTGAGTTTTATAAATGAAATAACCCAGTTTGCACATTATTATGCTGTTCATTAAAACTAAAAATTAAGAGTAAATAAATCCTCTTCAGTGCAAAGTACAGTTTGGTTCCACAGTTGCTTAAATTACATTGCCACATATGAAATGTTGGCTCTACTCTGGAATTAACATTGAAAATTTTCAAATATCTCTCCTGATAATTTTATCAAAAGTGATTTATTTTAAAACAATAAGCGCTACAAATTGAGACGGGCTTAAAGAGATAACAGCCTAGTGTCTTATTGTCCTCTGCTGACAGGAAAGCATGTTCTTTACATACTGTACTTAGCTATAAAACACATATCTTTCCTTGGTAAAAAAAAAAAATATATATATATATATATATTTCTCTAGATTATTTAATAGGCTATTTCGAGACTGTGAGAAAAAACAATTATTTATGAAACAGTGTTTCACGGTGGGAGAAAAATTAAGAGAAATTATTTGCATCTCCTTTAAGTTCTTCACAACACTTGGAGGCCTTCATTCTCTCCAGTTAGTGCAATTTATTTTTTCATACGTCTCAGGAGCAAACCATGTTATTTAGACTCTAACCTGGCACGCTGCCACCTCTGGCCCACCCTTGAGCCCCTCCATTGCAAAGGTCTCCAGGTGCAGTTTGGGTAGCTGCAGGGTGAAGTCATTCCTACTTGCCGCAGTCCGTGACAGCGAGATCTGATCTCTGACCTAAAGGGAAAAAAACAGCATCAATGGTAATTCCCCTTCAGACACATTAACTGGGATGAACTGGGTCCCCTTGAGCCCACTGAGTGGACTTGCATTGATCGCTGGACCTGAAATCCATGAATAAATTTAGGACTAATTGATTTTTCGTTGCAAATAAATCTCTAATTCAGAGTGCTGGGGGAGAATGTTAAGAAGAAAAAGCGTCCTCCTGCTTGAAATGAGGGAGGGAAGAAGAGTCACTGGAGCTCTTCTGATCAAGAGGTTTTGAATTATTTTTTTCACTGTTCCACCCTCAAAAGAAAAAAAGGAAGAAGGAAAAAAATATCCACAAAATCGAAAACAAACAGCCATCTCCTAATTATTATCACTTTCTTAATAACATGTTTCATTTAACTGGTATTAACTAATATATATTAGACAAGATAGTTATTAGGTGTTAGTCTTTGAAAAGAAAACTTCAATAATATGTACCCTGGAATAAAAACAAATATACTCAACACACAAGGAGACTTAAAAATATACCAGTCAGAGGTTTATTTGCCCATTTCCTTCTTACTAAACTTGAGTCTTAACGATTAAATACATATAAACCAACTCGGTCACGCAACTTCTAAATAAGATAACGAATAAAATCAGTGGTATTTGTACTATATTTTAAGTATTCGGAAAGGGAACAATACAAACATATCACAGATCCAGGAGAAATACCAAATTCTCTAGGCAGTGTAAGTATCACAGGCAGTTGATATTACACTGCCACCTTCTGGACAAATGAGAAACTACTCCCCATACACTATACATAGATAAAGAAAATGCTCAGAAACAGATCTGTTTTCATTTTTAATTTCCAAACTTAGTAAGAGCTTTAAGATTTTCACAGTTTAGTTTTCCATAAGATCAGTGAGCTTTCGTTTTTAATTATATAGTTTAACGATAGTAGATTTCATAGGTAGGCATATTTTCTAACTTTCCTTATGCCTGACTTGGTTTTAAAAATGTATCTCTTTGCTACCATATATTGGATAAATATTATGCAACTAGCGTAAAGCCACAGGATCAAAAGTGTTTTTGATGACATAGTAAAGGTCAAGAATGGGAGCACTATAAAAAATAACACCAATTGCTCAAATATATGTATCTATATCCCTACTTTTCCCTGAGCAACTTCGAATGTAACTTGGCAACAGTACATGATCGAAAACCTCTCCTTCGCTTTTCTATTCTACTTGGGAAGCTTCTAAAGCCTGTTTGAATTATTTCTTATTTTATGAATGAACTATCACACTGCATAGGGTTTCCTTATACTAGCAAGCACACACAAACATCTGACAACATCTTTAATTGTTCATGCTAATCTATGGTTATAAAAATCTTTATACTCCCAAGTTGAGCAGAATTTCTGTCAATAACTGAATGTCAAAGTGTATGCTATAAAACATACACTGTAATGCAATTTTTATAATGGTGTGAGTACTGTATGCACACTGGAGTCCCAAATCAGAATGTGTATTTATCTCTAACAAATATTCTCCAGAGTCTTTAGTCAGGATGAGAATGCTTTTAACTTACTTAACATAACAAAATAAATCATATTTTACAAATATATTTGCTTTAGGTTTTCTATTTTATATATACGGATACCTTCTCCTGCTTTTTTTGGTCACCAATGCACACTCAGATAAAAGAAAACATTAATGTGGATTAAGGTACTGAGAATTTATCAACATCAAACCACTAGTGTTTTGCCTTCTACCCTTCTGAACCATAGTCAATAGATCTAAATATTTTACTGCACCCTGGCCAATTCATTGTTTGATGTTTAAAAACTCACCCAGAATCAAAGAAAATTTATTAAATTTGAGCCCCCAAATGAGATACTATTAGCTTTGAAAGTCAAGTTTAACTGCGATATTGATGATTCTCTTTTTTCTGTGACAAAATTCACTAGGGAAATCCTGGAAGTCAAAGTACAAAAGCAGATTGCTAATATGGGCAAAGGAGGAGGGAGGACCATAAGCAATGTAGGTATAATCCACAGCACAGTTCCAGCACTGGAGGTCCTTGAACCCGATGATTATCAGGCACCCGACTTCAACTGTGAAGCTTGACATACAGGAACAGTAAGCCACATTTTATAGTCTCTAAATAAACTCGCTGAACAATATTAAGCTGGGGCATTTGGCAGTTAAACCTGTGACTTCTCATCAAATGAACATTCTCACTACAACATTATTTAATTTGCCAAGTTAAATCATTCTTTATATTAGATGGGGGAAAACCTCAAAATGCCATTATTTTGCTAAATTGAATAATGGGCATCATAATTACAACATTATTTGAATATGCATGTGTTGATACTTTCATTTAATTATAAGTGATGTGTTGAGATGGTGGACAGTGCCATCAAGAGAGAGTGCTACACAACAGATACAATACCACAAATATTTCTACTACATTTTAAGAGTTGATTCCACTTTTAAATTAAGCCAGGACTTTGAGAGAAGGCATCCAAAAGGTTCTCCAAATATTTCTAGGAAAAGTTGTTTCTCACTCATGAAAAAGGATCGGCTAGGAGTTCTTTTATCTTCAGGGGTGTGAAGGAGTGAAAGCAGTATGTTGAGAGAAGACAAAACAGTGACACAGGACAAGTAAAACTACAACCATGCAGCAAAGAAGCAGGAAGGGAAGGTGACAAGGAACAGGAAAACATGAAGGGTGAAAGATGAGACTTGCTCAAAAGAGTGCAGAAAGCAAGTCTGAATTTCAGGGTGTGAACAAGGATAAACGGGAAAGAGAGTCAACCCAGGACAGTAAGAAAAAAGGTTCTCTCCGTATTGCATTAAATTTGTTCATGAAAAACAGAGAACAGGCAGCCTGAGAACAAAGTAACCCAAATCAGAAAAGGGATAAGTGAAATTTCTTTGGGAAACACTGCCCATTGGATATAAATGATTCTTTTCAAACATGAGAATCTAAAATAAATTTCTTTACTGTCAAAAGAATTCTGAAGCAACGATATTAGAATAGTAAAATCACTTTTTCCTCTAACAGAAGTAGGCTCGCCTTTGAAAGTACAGATTTTAGTGTGAACTAAGATTAAAACCACCGTTGCCACCGTTCTATACATTAAATGATAATTTCAAATTTCAAATTAATTTGAAATTATAATTTCAAAAGTCAGTCTTTAACTCTGTTGCAGCACATCGTCATTCATCCTTTAATTAAAATTCTATACCCTTTTTACTGTGATTTATTTATAGCTGTGACTGATAAAATATATATAACAACATTTTTCTACTTCAAAATGGGTAACAGTTCATACTTAACATAGAACGAATTTTTTCATACAACTTCACAGTATAAATCTCATTTGCCAAGTTGCATACATTTTTATAATATTCTATACAACTGTTCAATTTCATAGTATTTTGACAAAGAATAAAGAAAACATACCTACACTCTGTAGGTATGTGTAGTGTAGAAAACATTACTACACTCTGAAATTTTGACTTTTAGGAAAGTAGTTTGATTTCTCCCTTTCCTATTACATACTTTCAGAAAGCACATATTTCTAACAGATATGCCATAAGACACAAGGGAAACAAGAGGTGGGTAGAGAAAAATAAATGAAACTTTCTAAGAAGTCAAAACATTGGTATGAAATATCTATTTCATCCTCACACTCAAGTTCCAGACTGAAGTGATTCAGAAGATCCACGTTCCTATTCCACTGATTGGCCTTTACTCACAAGCCGCCAGTCTGTTTTCTAATTTTCTGTATACTCCCACCATAACACAAAAAAAGCTATTCCTGGTGGACCTATCAACTATGAGATTACATTAGTCACTTTTGGAAAAACTGCTCAACTCTCAGAACGTGAACCTGCATGTTGTATCACGCACAGCTATAAATCCCTCTGGACCTAATGTTCCAAATTAAAACACACACACACACACACACACACACACTTTTGAAATGTGGCACCAGCTGTGTTTCCACCATCAGGACACTAAGGAAGAAGCAGTAGGATTGTAGATGGAAATGCAGGTACGCTTATCACATAAAAAGATATGTACAGTGCCCAAATCTTAAACGTCTGGGAAAAGTAAGCGATAATTAGGATTTCACACCATACCCTTGATCTGGCTAAAATTTTACTTACTCCAATCTAGTATGGCATCCATTGCTTCAAAATCAACACTTTGACCACAGACAGTGTCATCAAGTAGAGGGACCTCTACAGCATTTCCTGTAACCTCCTTTCTTATCACTCCATGTTCATGCTCTACTTTGTTTCCACATCCCTGCCTTCTTCTGTCCCACGCCCTCTTCTGCCCTTCCTTCCACCACCACAGATTCCTTATGGCTTTCCCTTCTCTTTTTTTTTTTTTTTTAAAGATTTTATTTATTTATTTGAGACAGAGAGCATGAGAGGGAGGAGGGTCAGAGGGAGAAGCAGACTCCCTGTCGAGCAGGGAGCCCGATGCGGGACTCGATCCCGGGACTCCAGGATCATGACCTGAGCCGGAGGCAGTCGCTTAACCAACTGAGCCACCCAGGCGCCCAATTTCCCTTCTCTTTTTATTCTCTTTTTCATCCTACCCTAGAGCAGCTTGCACACTATCTTTCAACCTCCTCACCAGAGAGCAGTGTGTCCTTGGCACACTGCAGCCTGGGAACTGAATCCAGCCCACCGCATATTATTGTAAATAAAGTTTTATTGGGACACATGACACCCATTCTTTTACCTATTGTTTTTTGGCTGCTTTCCTGCTACCATGACAGAAGTGGAGAGTTGAGACAGAGACCATATGGTCCACAAAGCCTAAAATATTTACTATCTGACTCTTTACAGAAAGTGGTGGCCATCCTCTGCCTTAAAGGTATAGAAGGAAAGACAGTATTTTTCACCATCTGTCAAGTTTTTTAAATAACCACATCTCACCAGAGAATATCTGAACAATTTCTAGCGGGTCAACCTTCTATCAGTAACACAGGG